CTCTCCGAGGATGATCAGTGGAAGGCGTTCTGCAAGCGAGAGCACTGGACAAGTTGGTTTGCTGCGGAGAAGTTGGCCGCTACCCAGGGCAAATCAGATGCTGAGATTGCGGCCGCTGGCAGTGCAGCTGGGCAGGCCCGCATGGAGGAGCTTCGCAATATGCTCAGGGGCAAAAAAAACTCAAGACAGGCGAGCTCGCGTCTTGATCGCGGTCATCTCGATCTGAGCTGGCGCCAGGGCCCATCGCGTTTAGCTAAGCAGACGAGTCTCAACCCCATATCCCTCCAGTAGATATTCCTGAAATCTATATCCTTCAACCGTTTCCGTTTCATCCTTCTCTTCGCCACGAGCCCACATTTCTCCCCAGCGTCTTACTCATAATCATCTTTCTCCGATGTTTCAACTTCCTCCCCCAAAGTCCCCTTCGCCCCTCACCCTCGTCATCCTCCTTCCGTGTTTCTTTTCCGCCCGTTTGCACCTCTTCCCCCCCCCCCCCCCCCCCCCCCCTCCTCCTCGTCCTCCGCGTTGCCCAGCCCTTGCTCGGCATCCGTCTCGCCCGCCTCAAGCCGGCTTTGAATGTGATTCCTGACTTGCTCTTTGCACGGCTTTGTCTCCGGCGCGTAGACATATCGAGAGGGGTGGCGCCGGCGCCGCGTTCATTGGCACACAAGCACAAAGACACCGCGGGATCTTGCCGCATCGGGCATTCGGTTCGAGACGGAACAAAAACAGAAATTACACACGATAAAGGCGCCACTGATGCATGCATCCAAACCGCGTGCAGGTGTAGGACGATGGTCGTCGAGTCGATATCTTGCTTTAGACGCGCCTCACTAGGCGCGAGTGCGACCTACCACCACCACCCCTCGGAACCAGACCACTGACCACCACCTACCACCACCCATTAAGACCAGACAATTAACCACCACCTGCTGACACTAGGCCACTGACCACCACCACCCACTAAGACTAGACCATTGAACACCACCTAAATCAGGCACAGTCCACGCGCACTACCTCCAACAACACGTTCACTAGAACTCCCGATTATCACTACCATGTCCACTCACACCGTAGCTATTTTGGCTCAGGCTTCGCCTCAGCAAGTCCGTGCGACTATAGCTATCACGCCGAAGGCTAGCGCCTCGTTCAAGGATGGCGATGGCGCCCTCCACCCAGGGACCCTCGCGCGCCGGCGTCTACGATTGGAGGAAGGACGTGGAGAACGTGCAGATCGTCCTGCACAAGATGCTTGAGGACGCTCCGGAGCATCGCTACTCCGACAGCCTGAATGAGCAACTCGACAAACTCCTCGTGGCGGTCGCCGAGATAACGTCGTCCAGCGAGAAGGCCACCGCAAAGCAGGAGTCAGCATTGCTTGAGAAGTTCGCGGCGATTCGCGAGGATTTCAAGCAGGCGAAGTCCACGTTCGACAACATGATGCAGCCCCCCGCGAGGAAGGTGAGGAGGGCCCCGTCCACGCCAGATGACGCTACAGCGCCAGTGCCGACGAGCGCTGAGATCATGGGCAGCGACGGCGAGAGCATCGAGGTGCTGGAGGACGGCACGAAGCCTCCCTTCGACGACTTCGATGAACCGACCGACAGCTTGCGCCAGTGAGTGCGCGTGCGTGAGTGCCGAGCATACATTGCAAGTCCGCAGCTGCTGCGATGCGTTCCCGTCGGCTTTGTGGTTTGTCGGCCGAGTGCCTCAGCTCGAACGCATGATTATGACATACGTGGGAATGTCGACCCACAAAACAACGCCATCGGCATCATCGTCAGCATGACCATCGTCACCATCATCAGCATCATCATCAGCATCATCATCATTAGCATCATCATCATCGTCATCATCATCATCGTCATCATCATCACCGCCAGCATCACCATCATGCCATCACCATCATGCTTGCGGGCGGCGTGGAACCAGGGTCCTGGCTGAACCGCCCCGTCTCAACGCACACGCGAAGTCGCATTTACGCGGGCATAGCCGTTGGGCCATGGGGGGGGGGGGGGGAGCCGCATGAATCACGAGCGGTGATGCATCCCCCCCTGTCGCTTGCCGAGCGGGGCACAGCCGCCCCCTTCCCCAGAGGGGCTTGCCGACGTGAGGGAGAGCGAGGGGGAGGAGGAGGGAAGGGGGAATGAGAGGGGGAGGAGTCGGGGAGTGAGGCAGAGAGAGAGAGAGAGAGAGAGAGAGAGAGAGAGAGAGATAGGAGAGAAGAAGAGAAAAAGAGAAGAGAGAGAGAGAGAGAGAGAAGAGAGAGAGAGAGAGGAGAGAGAGAGAAGAGAGAGAAAGAGAGGAAAGAGAGAAGAAGAGAGAGAGAGAGAGAGAGAGAGAGAGAGAGAGAGCGAGACGATGATGACGATGAGGAGCAGTGGGAGGGGAGGAGGAGGAGCGAAGAGGAGGGCGAGGTGGGAGAGGACCGAACGACTCGGAGGGAGAAGCAGCCGTGGGAGCAGTGACAGCGAGGAGTAGAGGGAGGATGAGGAGATGCCAATGAGGAGGCATCGTCGTCGTCGTCGTCGTCGCCCGCGCTCGCTCGCGCCCGCGCTACAACTTCGACCTCGAGGAAGGCACCCGCGCCCCGAGCGCGCGCGTGCTTGCGGGGGGAGGTGAGGGAGAGAGGGCGAGGAGGGCGCGGAGGATGAAAAGGACAATCAGCACGATGAGGAGGATGTGGATGGGAAAGGGGATGAGAATGAGGAGGCCTGCGTCCTGATAAGTCTTGACGCTTCGCGTATCCCCACCAGTCCATCCAGGAACGATCAGCAAGGGAGTTGGTGAATCAGGGGCGGCATGACGCATGCAGTCGCGCAGCCGCCTTCGAGAACACAAGCATCACACATAACTGAACAGGCCGAGGCGCTAACATGTTTCTACTGCGTTTAAATCATGTTGGGGTGTAAAAAATCATCACACATAGCTTCCCACATTGAAGTTTAAGATGGAAATCAGTGCAAGTTACGATGGTGCTTCGATGAGATGAAAGGTATTTCGATGACTCGTAATGGCTGTTGCACTGATTTTTATCTTAAACTCGCGTGCGCTCCGAAACTTGGAGGCATCTTGGGGCCCTCTTGGGATTCGCTTGGGCCCCTCTTGGGGCCTCCTGGGGCTCTTTCTTGGAGCTCTCCTGAGGTCCTCTT